GCATCCTCCGTGGAATGTCCTGTCCGGAATGCAAACTGTGTGCTGGGCAGAGAACCAGCCATATCCAGAAAGGTGACAAGTGCCTTCTGCACCACCTTCTCTAGCAGCTTCGAGAGAATTGGGAGCAGGGACACAGGACGGAAATTGTTGGCGACAGATGGATCGCCAGCCTTGTGCAATGGGGTCACATACGCACGCTTAAAGCCAGCGGGTACAGTGCCGGAGGTCAGGGACGCATTGAAAAGTGCTGCAACTGATGGTGCTAGCAGGTCGGCACAGTACTTTAGAAGTAAGCCTGGGATGCCGTCGCTCCCAGTTGCTTTGCGCGGGTCGATGCGCTTCAAAAGCTGTTCAGCATCGCAGGCACGCACATGTTGGAATGAGGTCAGGGCAGACCGAGGCTGTGGTCCCTGAGGCATAGAGAGAACTGAAGGTCGAGCATCATCAGAGACTACCTTGCCAAACGTGGACGCAACATGTTCGATGTCGCATGTCGGCTGGATTGATTGTCTCTTGCGTCCAGTCACAGTATTTAGGACTGACCATAACTTGCGTGGGTTCTGGCAATTATCTTGGCACTGACTTTGGAAGTACTGGTTGCGTTTGTACCTGTTTGTATTCGCAGCAACCGAGCGGGCACGTCTATATGCTGCGTGAGCTTCAGAGTTGGCTTTGTCAGCAAGCCACTTTCGATGCAGGCGACGCTTCAGCTGGTTTATCTTGTATAGGTCTCTGTCAGACCATGGAGGATGAAGCTTGCCTGTCTTAATCTTGCATTGCTGCAATGGCGCATGCCTGTCGAGGACAGAAAGGAATCGTTGATGCCAGTGGTCCCACATGGCTTGCACATCAGAGTCTGGTGGGTACACATGAAGTTCAGCAGCAGCTAGGTCAAGTCGGAAGGCAACCAAGTCAATGTTATCTAAACGGCGACGCACACGCTGCTTGGGGATGTCTGGCCGGGCATGTCTTGCATTGAAGATTGCTTCAACTCCAAAGTGGTCACTGAGTGTAAGCGGCAGGACTCGGCAATCATGCAAATCCTTATCCTCTGTAGTCAGTATCAGGTCAATAGTAGTGCCAGCTGGACACCGAGGTGAGACTCGCGTAACGGAGTGGACGATATTAGTGAGGCCATATGCACCACAGAGATCCAGAAGGGGCTGGGCATGCTGTGGCTGGGAATGCGAGATATTGACATTGAAGTCACCCATCAATGTGACGGCTGAGGTAACCATAGCAGCTTGATGCAGCGATGCCTCAAGGGTGGACCAGTAGGAGACTGGCGCATCTGGTGGTCGGTATATGCAGCCAATTAAGTGATTGCCTGCCTTTCCATTTAGCTCAACCCACACTACCTCCGTGTCCCCTTGGTTGAGATCCGGCCGTGGTTTGATGGGCAAGTAGGACCGGTAAAAAATACAGACGCCACCTCCTTTTCTCCCCTTTCGGTCATTTCTCACCAAACTGTATCCTTCAATGTTCACTTCTCCATCAGCTATAGACGCGTCCAGCCATGTCTCCGCAATCCCAACAACATCCCATGTCCTTTCCCTAATCAGAGCGGACAGCATGTCTATCTTGTAGCGCAGGCTGCAGATGTTAAGGAATCCAATGGTGGTATGTGTTGAATGAGATTGTGGCAGTCTGTTAATAGATACGGTAGCAGCCTGAGGGTAGAACTCCCGCGCAACTGGATTTAGCTTACTCATTGAGAGCTAGATGAAGGTTGCATTTTGCATGGTATTCCCGACATGGATCCAGGGGAATCTTCTGCATGACGCTTTCCAGGGCGAGGTGGCGTGGCTTTGGCTGGAGCAGACGTAGTTGACGTATCTTGAAGCTTGGGCTGGTGCTGGCCACTGTCCTGGTGGACATCACTAGATGCAGGGCTTTGGCTGTCATTAGACGCAGGGCATTGGCTGTCACTGGACGCAGGGCATTGGCTGTCATTAGACGCAGGGCATTGGCTGTCACTGGACGCAGGGCATTGGCTGTCACTAGATGCAGTATGCAGGTTCTGCTGTTCTGTCTGCAAATGCTGGTGCTCTTCAGGTGTAGATTCCTGATGCTGATTTTCCTGTGTCTTCTGGTGCTCCTCCTGCCGTTTCTTCTGCTGTTGCTGCTGGTCTGCTGTGTTTCTCTGTTCAAGACTTAGTGTAGATTCCTGGTGCTGATTTTCCTGTGTCTTCTGCTGTTGCTCCTGTTGTTGCTTGTCTGCTGCGTTTCTCTGGTCATCACGAAAGACCCATGGGCGTGCATAAACAGGCCTGGGCCAGAAGTTTGGCTGTGTGAGGGCTTCAACTGAGGCTCGGCTGATCGTCACACGAGCACCGACCTTGCCATCAGCCTTGCTGATCAGTTTGCTACTAAATATCGTGAGCTGCTGATTGGCTGTCAGGGCACGTTGTTGGATAAAGGATTCCAGTTGCTCAATGCTAATAGCTGGGCGCAGGTTTCCAATCCAAATGACCCCACGCCTGACGCTAAGGCGAGGGGAGACAGAAGAGACTAGTTGCCATGAGTCATCATCCACAGGTAGTGGTGGAACGTGCTGCGAACCCACAGTGTTTGTCTGTGTGTCTGCGACCTTTGGACTGTGGTTTGTAGTACATACCGGGTTTGCTTTATCCTTGTACTCCGTTTCCGTGTCCACTGAGGGCACCGTCTTGCCTGCGTGCCAGGGTGTGGCAGCGCTACGGGTACGGGGTTCAGTGTGCGTTCCCACGTGTTCTGCCTGCTGCTTTGACTTTTTTTCACTATTTGCGCGCGGCTTAGACTTTCCAGTTAGCGTACGGGTACTATTCGTACTACTAGCTGCACTCTCCTTGACCTCCTCGCCTTTTTGTTGCTGTTGGTCGACATGCATGGGGGCAATGGCGGACTGCCTCAAGGAGCTCAGTTCGCCTCGTAACTCCGAAACGTGTGCACATAGCTCATCCACACGCCGTTTCACGCGCTCCTCTCTATCTCTAGACTCACTAACATACGACGACAATTGCTGGATCAAGCTGATGACATTGGCTTCGATGCCTGGGAGACTGCACAGAAGTCTCAGGGGTTCACCTGCCAGCTCGTCCATGGCGGAGAGTAGGTCAGGGTGTGACAGCTACTCAAAATATCACCTACTCTACACTAAGCTACGATTCTACACTACGTCTCCTAAGGGCTCCACTCCGGCCTACACTGTGGTGTGTGTGCCTATAACAGCATTGCACAGGGGAAATATTTCCCAGCGTCAGCCATATCCACACACCCTCCACTTGTTCTCTCTCCTTCCTCCTCCTTCGCCCCCCCCCCTTCCAACGGGCATACAACACCAAATACGGAAGTAAACAAGGAGACAAAGTGTTTCACCGCACCATGTTCCAGTTTGCCTGTTTGCTTCAAGACATCACATAGCAAGGCATGGTCGGAGTCATCCAAATCCCTGTTTGAAATAAGCGGCATTTACTACACCGACACACTACGATATGCTGGCTCATTGCCATAGTCTTGTGTACACACCACACTAGACTTACATTGTACATGTGTAGGCTTCTAATTGATGTAAGGCTATATGAAGACGTGTCCAGCTATGTACAGACCAACACAGCCATCATGCTTCAATGTCACAGCCAGCACTACGGTACAGCTATGTACAGACCAACACAGCCATCATGCTTCAATATCACACCTAGCACTACGGTACAGCTATGTACAGACCAACACAGCCATCATGCTTCAATATCACACCTAGCACTACGGTACAGCTATGTACAGACCAACACAGCCATCATGCTTCAATATCACACCTAGCACTACGGTACAGCTATGTACAGACCAACACAGCCATCATGCTTCAATGTCACACCTAGCACTACGGTACAGCTATGTACAGACCAACACAGCCATCATGCTTCAATGTCACACCTAGCACTACGGTACAGCTATGTACAGACCAACACAGCCATCATGCTTCAATATCACACCTAGCACTACGGTACAGCTATGTACAGACCAACACAGCCATCATGCTTCAATATCACACCTAGCACTACGGTACAGCTATGTACAGACCAACACAGCCATCATGCTTCAATGCCACAGCCAGCACTATCGTTCACACACTCACTGTTCATCACCTTGGAGTCAAAGAACATTACAAATCACAAACCTTTTTGGACGCAGAGACGTCTGAAGACACAGGCCCTGGGACGGCTTCTGGTAGCGATCCCCTTGAGCTTCTTCCACAGACTAGAACACAGGAGTGAGTAAGAGACAAAAATCAAGAGAGAGAGAGAGAGAGAGAGAGAGAGAGAAAGAAAGAGAGAGAGAGAGATAGAGAGAGAGAGAAAGAGAGAGAGAAAGAGAGAGAGACAGAGAGAGAGACAGAGAGAGACAGAGAGAGAGAGAGAGACAGAGAGAGAGACAGAGAGAGAGAGAAAGAGAGAGAGAGAGAGAGAGAGAGAGGGACACGCGGTTATTTGCAAAACCATCTAGGTTGGTCTAGGTACTCTTACTAATATGTTGAGGTTATCATAGTTAGATAAAGACAAAGTGATGCTCCAGGTGGCAATCTTGTTAGGCTTCTATGGCTTCGTGCCATTCGACGCAATCTGCGAGTGCTACCTCAGAGAATCAATCTACTGGACTACTGCAGAAGATGTTACCCTCATCGAATATCCTAAGGCAGAGCGTTGCATACGCTTTCATGTAGTGTGCTGTGGCTCCTCGCCAGTGATGACTATGTCAACAGAGCCGAGAGCCAGACACTGAGTCGCCTGGGCCTCTCTTTTGCTACTTCTCTGGTTCACCCCTAACTGTACACAGATTGACCAGAGAGGTTTGTAAACTGTTGATGGCGGGCAATTACAAACCCATAATCAAATTCAGAGGGCACTTGTCCCGGATCGGTGCGATCACGTCAGCCATCCTACCTGGCGCACCTGATTGGCTCATCGATGGTCTCGGCCACTGGGAAGGTCGTAGTGTGAAGAAGTACCGAGACACCGAGCTGAAGGATCTGCCCGACATGTCATCTTTCCTGTACAGGTCAGTCCTGTAGTCGGGTAGGTTCTCTAGCAACCAATCAGGGTAATTCCCGTATTCCTGAGGTGACAGGATGTGCTGCAGCACTATCATCAGTATCACACCATCATTCGTAATATCAGCAGTAAATATTATATCCATATATATACTCATTGGGATCAGTCATTGGTCATCGGTGACTGTGTGAACAAGTACTGAGACACCAGGCTGGAGGATCTGCCTTACATGTCATCTTTACCTTGCTATATACAGACTAACCCGCCCACCGATCCCCACTACAACCAGATGAGCTACACATAGCTATTCTCCATGGAGTCAACGAACACTGCAAATCACATACCTTTTTGGGCAAAACAACTTCCGTGCACCCTGGCCCCCGGTAGAGATGCGGCAGGAGCTTCTTCCTCCAACTGGAAAACAGGAGTCGTTGTACTTGCTGTTGCCATGGAAACACTAGTGCCAGTGGCTGTAGTGGTGTCGTGTTTGGTGGTGTTGGCGTATCCGGTGGTCGTTGCGACATCTTCTCCGGCATCATTTGCAAGACAGACCTAAAAGACATCTTCTCCGGCATCATTGGCAAGACAGACCTAAAAGCACAGCGGGAGGATTGCAATTTTTACTCTCTAAGATGCAAACACAACACACACAAATTGCACACTGGTAAACACTATCACAAACGCCTGGTTGGATTCACTCAATCGTCACTGGCACAGACTCTCCCTGTGACAGGTAATACTGCTAAAATCTGGCACTCTGGATAAGGCTTGAGAGATCTACATCACACCGAGCCCAGAATCAGGGCATTGCAGACTTCCAATCGGATCCACTTGGGTCTAGGTTCAAGAACCGCACACGAACACGCACGCATGCCCCCCCCCCCCTCTACACACACACCTTAGACCTCAGACGTGCCCATCGCGGAAGCGATGATAGCGAACAGCTATGTTAGACACAGCAACTTGTGCTGGGATTACACCATTCGACAGCTTGCAAGGCTGATGAATTGACCGCCACTATTTTTTAGCCTGGTATCCACCACACAGCTGTTTCAAGTGACTCTTTCAGGCCAGTGAATCCCTATTTTTCATTTTTCCATATTTTCTAAACACACACACCACACCACATACTCCGGCATACACTGGCTGTTGGTAACCACCCAGGAGAATGAAATAAAAGTCAGGAAGAGCCCGAAAAAGAGAAGAAAGACGTGTGCGACCATAATCATCGGGAATTGAACCCGCAACCTCTCGATTGGAAATTGACTGCACATACCACTGCACCATATGGGACACACACACACACACACACACACACACACACACACACACACACACACACACACACACACACACACACACACATACATACACACATGCATTCGCTGGGACGCATACACAGCAACACAGTGCATTGCAGTAACTGTCCTTACCCGAGGGGTAATGCGGCCAGGCTTGGACACGACACTTGAAGATGACAAGGTCAGTGAATTTCGTGCCGGTAGAGTTTGCTGACAATCGACAGCAACCTTCAGTCAGCATTCACACACAAACAAAGCACAAAAAGAAAATTTGGAGACAGACCAGTTATAGGTAAGACATATCATTTCAGACTTTATAACTTGTCAAGAAATTCATTAAATATATCCAGACCATTAATAGGATCATTAATAGGTCCCCAGCTCTCGTATATCTTGTTCCCTGCACTCCGCGCACATACCGTAAAAGCCTGTATTAACGCCCACCCAGTATAACGCCCGCTGTCCGTGTACACATCGAGGTGCCGAGTGTCAAGGCTCTTGTACCGTTTTCTAGCCCACCTCCGTGTGAAGGCCCATGTGAGAAATCACAGGTCCAATACACAGTGCAGTGCATGTACAGCTCCATGCATGTGTATATACAGATCCATGCATGTGCATGCACAGCTCCACATGCATGTGTATGTACAGCTTCATGCATGTGTAAGCACAGCTCCATGCATGTGTATGCACAGTTCCATGCATGTGTATGCACAGTTCCATGCATGCGTATGCACAGTTCCATGCATGTGTATGCACAGTTCCATGCATGCGTATGCACAGCTCCATGCATGTGTAAGTACATGTACTATACGGTAGTATAGTGTACAGTACACTGTGCTAACCCTGTACATAGGGCGGTATGTTGAGGTTAAAATCAGTCTCATCTCGCTTATCCGAAATAACGCCCGGGCCCACATTAGCGACCAGGCCCAAATAGATGCTCATGTTCTGGACCTACACTAACATTTCCGCCCAGTGAAATATTACAGGTTTTACAGCAGCTTCCATTGTTACTGTATCGTACTTCATTCCCTTGGCCTGGGAAGCTTCTTGCGTGCCCATAATTGCCATGGCTAGCCATGCTCTTTCTCTCTCCATCTCCCTCTCCCTCTCTCTCTCTCTCTCTCTCTCTCTCTCTCTCTCTCTCTCTCTCTCTCTCTCTCTCTCTCTCCCTCTCTCTCTCTCCTCTCTCTCTCTCTCTCTCTCTCTCTCTCTCTCTCTCTCTCTCTCTCTCTCTCTCTCTCTCTCTCTCTCTCTCTCTCTCTCTCTCTCTATCTCTCTCTCTCTCTCTCTCTCTCTCTCTCTCTCTTTCTCATCCGCACTGCTGCAAACACCGTACAAACCGAAAATTCAAATGAGCCTGACTTCATTTCGTTTTGCAAGGCGGGAGAGAAGCCAGTTGGCGTTCAGCCCAGACGAAAGTTGGTTACGACTGACCTCCTGTCAACGGCCTCAGACTGGAAACTTCTTGTCGACTCAGTTAGTGCAAAGATTTCTTTCCCTAGCTGTGTTGCACTTACCACGCTAAGACCAGATATAGTTCTGTACTGTACGAGTCGGATTGTATTCTGGATGGAGTTGACAGTTTGTGCTGAGGACAGATTCAGTGTCAGTAACTCGCGGAAGGACAGGCGGTATGCGGATCTGGCCGATCAATGCCGAGCAAACGGGTGGCAGGTCGTTTCTTTTTCGGTTGAGGTAGGTGTGCGTGGTTTCATCCAGGACTCTCTTCGGAGGGCTCTGAAAGCGCTTGGGTTTTCTAATCGAAGAATAAAATTTATTTGTAATTTGTGCAGTAAGACGTCTCTGCGAAGCAGCTACATCATCTGGTTGCGACGTCAACAAAAACACTGGTCGGAAGATCCACTTTTCTGAGGTACTGTACGTGGGGCTCCGTTTATTGAGGTGCGTTGAAATTTATTCTCTTTATCTTATTATTTCTTTTCTATAATTTCCCATATGAGTTCCTATCAGTTGCTGTGAACACCTTGAGTGGAGAGCGCTTGCTCGAGCGTTGAACCGGGTTCTTAATCCACCAAACCCAGTTCGCAAGGCTGGGCGGGGTTGTGAGCAGGCTTTCATTTCATCTTTTCTTATTATTTCTTAATATTTCTGCTTTTCATCCCATTACAAAAATTCTGCGCATTTTTTTCTCCATCTGCGCATAAAATCTAGACTGACAACCTGCTTGTTAATTCATGCACCTGCTTTCAGGCGTAAAAACCCTGTTGTAGAGGTCTCAGTCCTCATTTGTTAGACTGACCTGTCTTTATAAATGTAACTTACTCTCTCTCTCTCTCTAACTTTAACTCTCTCTCCTACTCTCTCTCTCTCTATCTATCTATCTCTCTCTCTCTCATACCTTATTGTCGTAGTCAGGTATTTCTGCCGAGGTACCGGTAGACGGCATGGTGCTCGCACATAGCGCTTGGGTCACTACCTCTTCCTTACGCGGCATCTGCGACGTTGAGTTTGGGGCGGATGACTGGGCACGGCTTACGGGAGCGGTGGATTCCTTTACCAAACACACAAGTACACACACACAACATATACCCTATACATAGAAGGACTTGAAACAATGTTCTCTAGTGACAAGATCACCACATGGTGTGCACACACCCAGTGACCCACACACATAATAGACACCAGTCATGCGTAGATCCACAGCAGTATATGTAGCTCATTGCAGGAGGAGAGTACAGCAAAGGGTTTTATTTGCATCAAGACGTCGCGGCGCAAAGCATGCATGCATTATCAAGCGATATGCGTGGGAAAGGTGAGTTGCAACAGCAATATGGGCAGGTATGTAGACAGCTGCATCCCTGCAACAGCCAGGGTTATTGAGTGATCTTTGGCATAGTGACACAGACACTGCAAGTCCCCTGCCACCTTTCCCCTTCACCATAAATCAGGGCAGTTGTAATCGGTGGTGTCGTTGCCAACACCCCCGGCAATGGTTTTTGCGGCGGCAGGGCAGTAGTTGTTTTTGAAGCAGCAGGGTGGTAATGGTTGATACCCAACACAGGAAGGGGCATTGGTTGATACCCAACACAGAAAGGGGCATTGGTTGATACCCAACACAAGAAGGGGCATTGGTGGTACACAGTGGCTGCACAACCACTACCATTATTCCCTAAAGGTATTGACTGCAACTGCCATGCTGCACCGGCATATATTCTTTGTCTTCTTCGTCTTCTTTGTCATACACACATGCTAGAGGGTAGTACCTGTGTGAATCGTGTTCCCTTTCTTCACTCGCTGTCACCCTGGAGCAGTACTGGTGTACAACTCATCTACAGACATGGCTGCTGTGACAAACCCAAGACATGACGGTGACACCATGGCTAGCGTTGGTGCCACTTGGTCGTTGTGTTGCCATTTGGTTGCAAGCAACCCCGCTCCCATTATGTCATTGTGTTGGTTGTCGAAAGCGGTGATCCCATCCATTGTGCTGGCTGTTGAAAGCGCTGCTCCCATCCATTGTGTTGGTTCTCGAAAGCGCTGCTCCCATCCATTAATGTTGGTTGTCGTCAGTGCTGCTTCCATCAAATATGTTGGTTGTCAGCAACGCTGCTTTCATTATTTGCGTTGGTTGTCAGCAGTTCCACTCCCATTAATTGTGTTGGTTGCACTCACTCCATCGTATTGAACCTGGTTTCCATTGTCGGTAACAAGTAGACTGTCTTGGCGGCACCCGGTCTATCGTCTAGCTTGGGCCTTCCATTGTATTCGCAAGTAGATGACTGTGTTTGGCTGCACCCAGACCGTTGTATTGTGTTTGGCTGCGCCCAGACCGTTGTATTGTGTTTGGCTAACGCTGTATTTACCATTGACGTGTTGAACATAATGGATAAGCGCCTAGCCACTCACACAACATTGCACCGGTATCAAGCCTCACCACAAGGCACGTAAAGTACAGAAGTAGATATCCGAACCACCGTACACCCGAAACAAAACTCGTTACTGGCGATACTTAAGTTTCCTACAAAAGCAGCTCAATCAATTCTCTGTGTCAAAGATTCAGTAATATACAGCACAGCTGCGTGCATTCAAAACTGACTATGTGGCACATGCTTGCAGTCTGCATAAGCCAGGGAGAGTATAGTTATGAAAAGAGGAAGGTCAAGAAGGCAATGGAAAAACTTCTAACACCAAGCAAGCGTCAGGCTCCTCGCAATTGACATCCTTAAATTCCTTCCACTAATGTTACTATTCATCTTTTTTTGGCGCTGTTGCCATAGCATCAATACCGTTTCAAATTCATTAGTCATGCCGGCAGTCAGCTTCTTTTAGCCTGTATTCCACCTGATGAGAAAGCATGAAAGCAGTCGTCAATGAAATTTTAGGATGGTGATTGCTGGCCGCCTGACGCTCGTTCTAATTTTAGGCTCTGCTGTGTACTGATCTCAGATAAAAGTTTTTTTTTGTTTTTGTTTTTTTACCAAATCTGGTCTCATACTTATAGATTTTTGAGTCAGTTTGCCTGGATCTGAGCAACGTAGGGTGCTCAGACTGTCCCCTTTTCTCAATCAATTTCTGATTTGGGGACAGGATGCGTGAGCAGATTGAACGTTTAATAGAGAAAGGAAAGGAACGTAAGGATACGAGATCCACCACTGTACCTAGACACTACATACAGTATCAGTACTCTGTCAGTTTTGTGCCTAGTTTTTGCACTTTCTGACTGTATATAGTATCTAGTGACAGTGTTGGACAGTTACTCTTAACCCGTATTCATATGGTCCTTTTCTTTAGTTATTAAGGGCGCGTTCGAACTGTCACTCTTTGACTTTTCGAGGAGTTCCGTTTTTCTAAAGAGGTGGCCTTATTGGCCTCTTCAGAACAACGAAGATCCTCGAAAGTCCTCGATACTCCACAACCTCATCCGATGGGAGAGGTGGATTAGTTCCGAAGAGCTTGGAATAGCTACGTCACAGAGTACATGGAGATGGTCGAGCTGATCGGACGTCATCATCGCCATGACAATTCCACTGAAAAACTCTAAAAATGATAGAAACCGTTCTATTGGGACACTTCAACAAATCTCTCTTAAAAAATTTGTTCAAAAAATTTACGAAGACAATTCGAACGCCCCCTAAATTATTGGCTCAACATCCGAGTTTTTAGACTGAAAATTGTAAGTGATATTTCACTTGAAGTGTCACTTCAATTTCAAGTATATCTAATTTTAAGATAGGATGCATGTAGCACCAATGCATCCTAGGACCGACAGTGCGGGATTCAACACCACAGCACCACACCACACCACAAGATCAGATTGCTGAATTCAGGATGGACATTGACTGACTCACAACTGCCATCCACAGCACACGACAAGCACGTCGAAACTTCCACTTGAGTAAAACGCATTACAACACCAAATGACATGCTGTAGACAAAGAACAGCCTCATCTATTTTCTTCCCCGGCAGATAATGCACACGTGATCAGTTGCATCCTTGCGCACACATGCACACAAATGCATGTTCAGGAGTTGCGAAGCGCAGCAGAGTTTCTGCATGCATCACCTGCTGCAAAATAGACCAGATAAAGCTATTCACTATAACGTATACTTTTCACACAGTTGTGCACATTTGTGCGCTTTCATGCAACTATTCACGTGCAACGCTTGAACAATCCCCCCCCCCCCCCCCCCCCCCGATTCACGCCGCACAGAACTACAGTTCAACCATTTTGGTATGCTGGTCAAGGTCAGAGGGGATTTCCCCTTAGCTCTAGGTATGCTGGTCATGGTCGGAGGGGATTTCCCCTTAGCTCTAGGTATGCTGGTCATGGTCGGAGGGGATTTCCCCTTAGCTCCAGGTATGCTGGTCATGGTCGGAGGGGATTTCCCCTTAGCTCTAGGTATGCTGCCATGGTCGAAGGGGGTGTTTGGCAAGGTTGAAGTCCGGATAATCTACACTAGATTACTGGATGGGGATGAAGCGTTCCTGCCGGAAGACTAGAGTTGTGGCTCAATTGTGGAGACGGCGGTGATGAAGTATACGTCAGCACCACCCAGAAAAGTGGGTTGCTGGCGAGTAGGTCTGCAAAAGTCAAGGCAGCCATCTCGTCAGCTTCTCCAATTCACGGCTTGCAAGTCAAGTTTACTTTCGTGGCTTGGTCTTGTAGTAGAAGTCCATACCAGCTACACCAGATTGCTGGGTGGACTTCACTACCGTGACGTTGGAAACGACTTGCAATTGTCGGACAGTGTCATTGACATCAAAAGCCGTCTCGACAATTGCACGTTTGCGTTTCTGGGAGACTCATTACCGCCGGAGGACATACGGTGCTCCATAACCAATACAGTCGTCTGCGGACTCAAGCATGGTAAGATTCAACCCTGATTCTCCGTGAAGCGTTCCTACCGGAAGACTAAACGCGTTGCTCAATTGTGGAGACGGCGGTGATGAAGTGTATGTCACCAACACCCAGGAAACGTGGGTTGCTGGCGAACAGTTCTGCCCACGTCAAGGCAGCCATCTCATCAGCTTCCCCCAGATCACGGCATGCAAGTCAAGTTTACTGCCGTTGCTTGGTCTTGTAGGAGTCCATGCCAGCTACACTAGATTACTGGATGGACTTCACTACTGTGATGTTGGAAACAAGCTGCAATTGTCGGACAGTGTTGTCGACTTCAGGCGCCGTGCCCACAATTGCAGCGTCACGTTTCTCTGACGAATTACCGCCTGAGGACATACCGTGCTCAACAATTCCATGGTCGAAGGGGGTGTTTGGCAAGGTTAGTCCGGATAATCTACACTAGATTACTGGATGGGGATGAAGCGTTCCTGCCGGAAGACTAGAGTTGTGGTTCAATTGTGGAGACGGCGGTGATGAAGTATACGTCAGCACCACCCAGAAAAGTGGGTTGCTGGCGAGTAGGTCTGCAAAAGTCAAGGCAGCCATCTCGTCAGCTTCCCCAATTCACGGCTTGCAAGTCAAGTTTACTTTCGTGGCTTGGTCTTGTAGTAGAAGTCCATACCAGCTACACCAGATTGCTGGGTGGACTTCACTACCGTGACGTTGGAAACGACTTGCAATTGTCGGACAGTGTCATTGACATCAAAAGCCGTCTCGACAATTGCACGTTTGCGTTTCTGGGAGACTCATTACCGCCGGAGGACATACGGTGCTCCATAACCAATACAGTCGTCTGCGGACTCAAGCATGGTAAGATTCAACCCTGATTCTCCGTGAAGCGTTCCTACCGGAAGACTAAACGCGTTGCTCAATTGTGGAGACGGCGGTGATGAAGTGTATGTCACCAACACCCAGGAAACGTGGGTTGCTGGCGAACAGTTCTGCCCACGTCAAGGCAGCCATCTCATCAGCTTCCCCCAGATCACGGCATGCAAGTCAAGTTTACTGCCGTTGCTTGGTCTTGTAGGAGTCCATGCCAGCTACACTAGATTACTGGATGGACTTCACTACTGTGATGTTGGAAACAAGCTGCAATTGTCGGACAGTGTTGTCGACTTCAGGCGCCGTGCCCACAATTGCAGCGTCACGTTTCTCTGACGAATTACCGCCTGAGGACATACCGTGCTCAACAATTCTCACAGTTGTGTGTAGAAGAAATCCTGGTAAGATATTTTTTATGTATTGTACAATTACATAAATTTACGTCCATATCGGCAACAGCAGATTGCTGGATGGACTTAACTACCGTGATGTTGGAAACGACTTGCAATTGTCAGACAGGCTCATTGACGTCTTATTCCTCTTTGACAATTGCATGTTTGCGTTTCTTGGAGATCAATCACCCCCGGAGGAAGCACAGTGCACACATATCCATCCAGTTTTCTGCGGACTCAAGCATGGTAAGATTCAACCCTGATTCTCCGTGAAGTGTTCCTACCGGAAGACTAAAGACGTGGCTCAATTGTGGAGACGGCGGTGATGAAGTTTACGTCACCGACACCCAGGAAACGTGGATTGCTGGCGATCAGTTCTGCCAAAGTCAAGGCAGCCATCTCACTAGCTTCCCTCAACTCACGGCTTGCAAATTTTATCACATCATGCTATTAGGGAACCATCAACAGTGTGCGGATCGTACAAATTGACGTACCACAGCATCGTGTTTTCAGCTGACGACACAAACCGGACGTGTCGCCAACAGTATGGTGGTTGGCTGTTGTCAACAAACATGCTGCGGGTCAGCTGCGTCTCTCAGCTCCTGAATTCGTCTCAGGTGCTGAGAGACAGCAACGTCACCATCATACCTCTCTGCACCAGCGGCACGAACGGGTCAGCTGATTGCGAGGTGTATTTGCCATCAAGGTCGGCAATACTTCCAGACTCATGCACCGCAGCCAGGTCGACCGTCTGCGTGCCTCGTAAGTTTCCTGCATCGTTACTCCCAAGTGATAATCTCTGTATATTTGGGTCCAGTTATGCTCAGAAGCCTTGGACGTTGTCCTGTCTTTAATCATGTGCAGATCGTACCATTATTCGTACCACAGCATGGCGTTTTCGGCTGACGACGCAAACAAGACGCGGCGTCAGTGCCGTGGTATTTGCTGTTCCCATCAAGGCTGGCAGTACCGACCGACCTTCTGCGTGTCCAATGAAAGTTCATACTCTATACCCGTCCTGTGACACTCTATGTATGCATGGGACCAATAATTCTGCTCAGGATTTCAGCCAAGGACACACTGAGTGCTAGTAAGGACACACTGAGTGCTAGTAAGGACACACTGAGTGCTAGTAAGGACACACTGAGTGATAGTAAGGACACACCGAGTGATAGTAAGGACACACTGAGTGATAGTAAGGACACACTGAGTGATAGTAAGGACACACCGAGTGATAGTAAGGACACACTGAGTGATAGTAAGGACACACTGAGTGATAGTAAGGACACACTGAGTGATAGTAAGGACACACCGAGTGATAGTAAGGACACACTGAGTGATAGTAAGGACGCACTGAGTGATAGTAAGGACACACTGAGTGATAGTAAGGACACACCGAGTGATAGTAAGGACACACTGAGTGATAGTAAGGACACACTGAATGATAGTAACAGATCAAACAGCCAAGGACACACTGAATGATAGTAACAGATCAAACAGTGCAAGACAGTGAGTCTTATACAGAAAGTGTGTATTCGACTGCGGATCGGGATACTCTACTTCGCACAAAACTGACTGCGGATCGGGATACTCTACTTCGCACAAAACTGACTGCTGCATTGTAGCATCTCACAGACGGGCAAACTGGAGCAAAAGTAGGGAACTTTCATGCTACCTTTTCTGTCCTGAACACGTGGAACACTTAGAATGGCCCGAAATATGGCAGCATCATTATGACCTTTTATAGTCACTGAACTACAGATAGATTGTTTTTTGCCTGCCACTTGAGTTTAGCACAAACAGAGATTCTCCGAAACCCTTGCTAGAATGGGGTGTACCGTTTCACACTCTGCAGGGGGGGGGGGGGTTATGCACTCTTGGCCATACAATGTACTAAAAAATCGACTTCTGCTGGCTTTACCTTCTATGGTTCAACCTGCCGGAAAAAAGGTGACGGCCACCTTCAATGCATAGCTCCAATTGCGGCCCTCGGATCCTAATTCGTTATTTTTAAGGCGAACCTTGTTCTGTCTGATGTTCAAGGCAGCTCTGCTTACTGTGTATTGAACACAGTGTGAACTTAAAATGGGAGGACACTCGTTCTTTTCGTTCAAGCATGATGAACCGCAAGCACCCGGTTTCGTCTTGAACGTCAAATTGCACCGGTAGAATGTTGTGCTCTTTGCGTTCACACTGTCATAGACGCTAGTACACAGGTTTGCTTTTGTTCTGCTTGGCATCTTTTAGACATCCCTCTTACTCTGCTCTTTTCATAACTATACTCTCCCTCTCAGACTCTGCAAACCGTATCAAACTCTTTAAAGACACAAAACGTTTCTGGAAGTTTAAAAATCATTAGTGACGAGTCTTGTTTCGGTTGTGCGGTTTGGATATCTACTTCTGTACGTTACATACCTTATGGCTTGACCCGCTACCAGCACGCCATTGCACAAACAGCCAAGATCTCATCCACTCTGCCCATACGATGTGACACACGGCTGCCAATTCGTTGTAGAATCCAGTGTTGTACAGGCATTCCGTTGTATGAGAGACAATCAATAAAGTGTTAAAGAGACGATCCAGTGTGATCCAGTGTTGTGGAGACAATCAATGAAGTGTTGAAGAGACAATCCAATGTGATCCAGTGTGGTAGATACAATCAATGAAGGGTTGAAGTCACGATCCAGTGTGATCCAGTGTTGTAAATACAATCAATGAAGGGTTGAAGAGACGATCCAATGTGATCCCGTGTTGTAGAGACAATCAATGAAGGGTTGAAGAGACGATCCAATGTGATCCAGTGTTGTAGGGACAATCAATGAAGGGTTGAAGAGACGATCCAATGTGATCCAGTGTTGTAGGGACAATCAATGAAGTGTTGAAGTCACGATCCAGTGTTGTAGATACAATCAATGAAGGGTTGAAGAGACGATCCAATGTGATCCAGTGTTGTAGGGACAATCCAATGTGATCCAGTGTGGTAGAGACAATCCAATGTGATCCAGTGTTGTAGGGACAATCACCGTTCACACGGTGTGCCACGTTGACTGGTTGGATTCAATCTTTGTTTGAACTGGGTGAGGCTTGAAGACCCATGGATACAAGTCACAAGCACTTGATAGTTATGTTGAAAACAAGGATAGGTGTTTGATCTGCAAGTGACTGTTGCAGCCATGCTGACAAGTGATTGTAGCAGCTATGCCCTGGCAGCAGCTACGCCATCAAAAGACGGTAGCGGCTATGCAAGCAAACAACTGTAGCCGGTACGCAACGATGAACCGGCGCAGAATATCGGCGGTTAAGCTGCTATCACCACCACTAAAGCCGCCAATTATTGTAACTGCTCCAGCCGGCTGTTCGCGAACTTCCTACTGTTGCTCTATCAGCCGGCTGTTATCGTAACTGCTACACCTGGCTGTTATATTCGTTGACTCAGCCGACTTAAATTCTCTGGAAAAGCCGGCTGTTATCGTCACTGATACAGCCGGCTGTCATAGTCATTGTTTCAGCCGGTTGATATCTTTACTGCTTCAGCCTGCTGTTGCCCGACTGCTACAGCCGGCTGTTAGAGTGAAAGCTTCAGTCGGCTATCATCTTCGCTGCTTCAGCCGCTAATCGTCGTTGCTGTTACAGCCGGCCATTATTTTCCTTGTTTCAGGAGGCTGTTATCATAACTCTTTCAGCCGGCTATTGCCGTCGCTGCTTCGGCCGGCGGTTACCGGCATTGCTTCAGCCGGCGATTGTCTTCGCTGCTTCAGGTGGGCGTTATCGTGTCTGCTACCGCCTGCTGTGGTAGTCATTGCTTCAGCCGGCTGTTATCGTCTCTACTACACCCGGCTGTTGTCGTCACTGCTTCAGCCGGCTGTTATTATCTCTGCTACAGCCGGCTGTTATAGTCTTTGCTTAAGCCAGCTGTTGCAGTCTTTGCTTCAGCCGGCTGTTGTCGACGTGGCTTCAGCCGGCTGTCATCGTCGCTGTTTTAGCCGGCTGTCATCGTCTCTGATTCAGCCGGCTGTTATCATCACTACTTCAGCCAGCGATTTTCGTTACTTCAGCCGGCTATTATCGTCTTGCTACCGCCGGCTGTGGTAGTCACTGCTTCAGCCGGCTGTTGTCATCGCTCCTCCAGCCTGCTATTGTCGTCACTGCAACAGCCGGCTGTCATCCTCACTGCCAGAGCCGGCTGGTATTATCTCTCCTACAGCCGGCTATTACCGTCTCTGTTACAACTGGTTGTTGGAATCATTGCTCTAGCCAGCTATTGTCGTCGGTGCTTCAGCTGGCTTTTATCGTCTCTGCTTCAACCGGCTGTCATCATCGATTCTTCAGCCGGCTATTGTCATCTCTGCTTCAGCTGGCTGTTAACATCCCTAGTACAGCCGGCTGCCATCGTCACTGCTTCAGCCGGCTTTTATCGTGTCTGCTACAGCCGGGTGTTGCAGTCATTGCTTCAGCCGGCTGTTATCGTCGCTCATTCAGCCGGCTTTTGTCTTCACTGTGTCAGCCGGCTGTTGTCATCCCTCCTTCTGCCGGCTATTTTTTTGTCACTGGTTCAGACGGCTGCTATCGTCATTGCTTCAGCCGGCTGTTATCGTCTCTGCTCCAACTTGCTGTTGGAGTCATTGCTTCTGCCGGCCATTGTAGTCCCTGCTTTAGCCGGCTGTTATTGTCAATTCTTCAGCCGGCTTTTGTCATCACTTTGTCAGCCGGCTTTTATAGTCCCTGCAAAAGCCGGCTGTTACCGTCATTGTTTCAGCCGGCTGTTATCTTTACTGCTTCAAGCGGTGATTGTCTTTGCTGCTCCAGGCGGCTGTTACCGTCACTACTAAGGCCGGCTGTCATTGTCGCGGCTTCAGCCGGCCGTTATTGTATCTGCTACAGCTGGCTGCGGTAGTCATTGCTTCAGCCGGCTGCTATCATCTCTGCTACACCCGGCTGTTTTAGTCACTGATTCAGCTGATTTTATCATCACAGCTTCAGTCGGCTGTTGTCATCGCCCCTTCTGCCGGCTATTGTCGTCACTGCTTTAGCCGGCTGAAATCATCACTGCTGCAGCCGACTGTTATCATCTATGCTACAGCCGGCAGTTGTAGTCTTTGCTTCAGCCGGCTTTTGTCGTCGTTGCTCCTGCCGGCTGTCATTGTGGCTGCTTCACCCGGCTGTCATCCTCACTGCTACAGCCGGCTGTTAGTGTCGCTGAGTTAGTCGGCTGTTATCATCACTGCTTCAGCCGGTTATTGTCGTTACTTTAGCCGGCTGTTATCGTCACTGATACAGACGGCTGTTATCATCACCGCTACATTCGACGGTTGTCATCACAGATTCAGCCGGCTGTTGTCATCGCTCCTTCTGCCAAGTATTGTCGTCATCGCTTCAGCCTGCTGCTATCGTCTCTGCTGTACCCGGCTGTTGTAGTCACTGCTTCAGCTGGCTGTTATCATCTCTGCTGCAGCTGGCTGTTGAGTCGTTACTACAGCCGGCTATTGTAGTCACTGCTTCAGCCGGCGATTGTTTTCGCTTCTGCAGCCGGCTGTTATTGTCACTACTAAAGCCGGCTGTCATCGCGCTCCTACAGTCGGCTGTCATTGTTGCTGCTTCAGCCGGCCGTTATTGTGTCTGCTACAATCTGCTTTGGTAGTCACTTCTTCAACCGGCTGCTATCACCTCCGCTACACCCGGCTCTTTTGGTGACTGATTCAGGCGGTTGTTATCACCACAGCTTCAGCCGGCTTTTTTTATCGCTCCTTCAGCCGCCTATTGTCATCACTGCTTTAGCAGGCTGCTATCGTCTCTGCTACAGCTGCCTGTTATCTCTGCTACAGCCGTTTGTTGTAGTCTTTGCTCAAGCCGGCTGTCATTGTCGTTGCTTCAACTGGCCGTCATCGTCACTGCTACAGCTGGCTGTTATCCTAACTGCTTCAGCCGGCTATTGTCGTTACTTCTGCCGGCTGTTATCGTCATTGCTACAGCCGGCTGTAATCGTCTCTGATTCAGCCGGCTGTTATCATAACAGCTTCAGCCAGCTATTGTGGTTATTACAGCCGGCTGTTATCGTTACTGCTACAGTCCACTGTTGTCATCACAGCTTCAGCCAACTGTCATCATCGCTCCTTCAGCCGGCTATTGCCGTCATTGCTTCAGCCGGCTGCTATCATCTCTGCTGTACACGGCTGTTGCCGTCACTGCTTCAGCCGGCTGTTATCGTCGCTGCTTCAGCCGGCTGTTATCGTCGCTCATTCAGCCGGCTGTGATCATCACTGCTTCAGCCAGCTGTCATCGTCAATGTTTCAGCCGGCTGTTATCTTTTCGGCTTCAGCCGGCGATTGTCTTCGTTTCTGGAGCCGGCTGTTATCGTCACTACTACAGCCGTGCTGTCATCGCGCTGCTACAGCCGGCCGTTATCGTGTCGGCTACAATCGGCTGTGGTAGTCATTGCTTCAGGGGGCTGCTATCGTCTCTGCTATAGCTGGCTGTTGTAGTCATTGATTCATGCAGTTGTTATCATCACAGTTTCAGCCGGCTGCTTTCATCGCTCCTTCAGCCGGCTATTGCCGTCACTGCTTTAGCCGGCTGTTATCGTCACTGCTACAGCCGGGTGGTGTAGTCTTTGCTTCAGCCGGGTCTTTTCGTCGTTCCTCCAGCCGGCTGGCATTGTTGCTGTGTCAGCCGGCCGTTCTCGTCACTGCTACAGCCGGCTGTTATCATCTCTGATTCAGCCGGCTCTTATCATCGCAGCCTCAGCCGGCTGTTGTCATCGCTCCTTCAGCCTGCTATTGTCGTCACTGCAACAGCAGGCTGTCATTCTCACTGCGCCAGTCGGCTGTTATTATCTCTTCTACAGCCGGCTGTTGTTGTCACTGCTTCAGCTGGCTGTTATCGCCTCTACTACAGCTGGCTGTTGGAGTTATTGCTTTAGCCGGATATTGCAGTCACTGCTTCAGCCGGCTATTGGCATCCCTTCTTCAGCTGGCTGTAATCGTCGCTTTTTCACCCGGCTGTGATCATCACTGCTTCAGCCGGCTATTACCGTCATTGTTTCAGCCGGCTGTTATCTTTTCGGCTTCAGCCGGCGATTGTCTTCGCTTCTGCAGCCGGCTGTTATCGTCACTACTACAGCCAGCTGTCATCGCGCTGCGACAGCTGGTTGTCATTGTCGCTGCTTCAGCCGGCCGTTATCGTGTCTGCTACAATCGGCTGTGGTAGTCATTGCTTCAGCCGACTTTCATTGTCGCTGCTTCAGCCGGCCGTTATCGTATCTGCTGCAGCTGGCTGTTGTAGCAATTGCTTCATCCGGCTGTGGTAGTCATTGCTTCAGCCGGCTGTGGTAGTCATTGCTTCAGCTGGCTGTGGTAGTCATTGCTTCAGCCGGCTGTTATCGTCTCTGCTACACCCTCGCTGTTGTAGTGACTGATTCAGGTGGTTATTTTCATCACTGCTTCAGCCGGCTGCTTTCATCGCTCCTTCAGCCGGCTATTGTTGTCACTGCTTTAGCCGGCTGTTATCGTCACTACTACAGCCGGCTGTCATCGCGCTGCGACAGCCGGCTGTCATTGTCGCTGCTTCAGCCGGCCGTTATTGTGTCTGCTACAATCGGCTGTGGTAGTCATTGCTTCAGCCGACTTTCATTGTCGCTGCTTCAGCCGGCCGTTATCGTATCTGCTGCAGCTGGCTGTTGTAGTCATTGCTTCAGCTGGCTGTGGTAGTCATTGCTTCAGCTGGCTGTGGTAGTCATTGCTTCAGCTGGCTGTGGTAGTCATTCAGCTGGCTGTGGTAGTCATTGCTTCAGCCGGCTATGGTAGGCATTGCTTCAGCCGGCTGTTATCGTCTCTGCTACACCCTCGCTGTTGTACTGACTGATTCAGGCGGTTATTATCATCACAGCTTCAGCCGGCTGATTTCATCGCTCCTTCAGCCGGCTATTTTCGTCACTGCTTTAGCCGGCTGTTATCGTCACTACCACACCCGGGTGGGGTAGTCATTCCTGTAGCCGGCTTTTGTCGTCGTTGCTCCAGCCAGCTGGCATTGTCGCTGCTTCAACCGGCCGTCATCGTCACTGCTACAACCGGCTGTTATTATCTCTGATTCAGCCGGCTGTTATCATCACTGCTTCAGCCGGCTATTGTCGTTACTTCAGCCGGATGTTATCGTCATTGCTACAGCCGGCTGCTATCGTCTCTGATTCAGTAGCTTGTTATCATCACTGCTCCTTCAGCCGGGTATTGTCATCATCGCTTCAGCCGGCTGCTATCGTCTCTGCTGTACCCGGCTGTTGTAGTCACTGCTTCAGCTGGCTGTTATCATCTCTGCTTCAGCTGGCTGTTATCATCACTGCTTCAGCTGGCTGTTGGAGTTGTTACTACAGCCGGCTATTGTAGTCACTGTTTCAGGCGGCTATTGGCGTCCCTTCCTCAGCCGGCGGTTGTCGTCGCTTCTTCAGCCGGCTGTGATCAACACTGCTTCAGCCAGCTGTTATCATCATTGTTTCAGCCGGCTGTTATCGTACAGAAGAACTGTGTGGAGAGACGGCAACTTCGTACAGCCTGTCCTCGAAACGAAGTGTCTGATTGAACGGGCTGAAGCCACAGCTGACAGTGGTGTTGGTCACGCCAAACCACACAGTAAAGTTGCTCAGTGTCTGCTGAAGTATGGGAGAAATAAGGACAAAAAAGGAAATAGACAAACAAAGAGCCAGGCAGTCAGACACAAAGATAGATAGATAGAGATAGAGAGAGAGAGAGACAGAGACAGAGAGATATAGAGAGAGAGAGAGAGAGAGAGAGAGAGAGAGAGAGACAGAGAGAGAGAGAGAGAGAGAGAGAGAGAGAGAGAGAGAGAGAGAGAGAGAGAGAGAGAGAGAGAAAAGAGAGAGAGAGAGCCAGAGAGACAGAGAAGGCGACAGAGATAGAGAGGGATAGAGAGAGACATAGATAGAGAGAGAGATAGATAGATAGAGAGAGAGAGAGAGATAGATAGATAGATAGATAGATAGAGAGAGACAGAGAGATATAGATAGAGATAGAGAGAGAGAGAGAGAGAGATAGATAGAGAGAGAGAGAGATAGAGAGAGAGGAATGAGAGAGAGAGCCAGAGAGACAGAGAAAGCGACAGAGATAGAGAGGGATAGAGAGAGACAGAGAGATATAGATAGAGAGATAGACATAGATAGAGAGAGAGATATATAGAGAGATAGAGATAGATATAGATAGATAGAAAGATAGATAGATAGAGAGAGAGAGAGAGAGAGAGAGAGAGAGAGAGATAGAGAGATAGAGAAAGAGAGAGAGAGAGAGAGAGAGAGAGAGAGAGAGAGAGAGAGAGCAAGAGCGACTAAGAACATACATGATATACAACCTGCATCAATTGGATAGAAAGGCAGACTTGATTCTTTTATAGCAACTTTCAAGAAAGTTGGAAATTACCTGGCCGCTACAGGTTTGACACGTAGAGAATGCTCTGCAATGGCTGAGATGCCAGCGCTGCAAAGATACTACCAGTGAAACGGGAGTGCGCTCTACACCAACATATTTCTCTGTCTGACACCACATCTCCTCACTCACGTTAGCCCCAATGCACCACTCAAAGAAGTACGCCCAAATACGCTTGCTGATGCAATTTGCCGACACAAGCAAATCACCCTTATCGGCAAAGCAATAAAAGTCACCCCATCATTCTTGTGAGATCTTTTGCCTTTCAACATTGTATTTGGTAATCGTTCACTTAGTCATACTGTTTGTCGTTCCTCGATTAGTTTACTCGCAATGGCGTATCAGTTCCATGCCTTGTGTGTAGCATGATAACAAGTTTTGTCCTCTGTGCTCCTGCAACCCGAAGTCCGGAATGGCTATAGTTCCCCGACACGCCGATCATGACCGAAGTCCTCTGCAACGTACTTCCTCCGCGTCATTAAATCTGTCACTCCCCAGAGCGATTTTTCAAATTGATTTTGTCCACTGGAATGGCAAAGAAATCAGCTAGAAATTGAGGCTGAGCATTGCCGACGGACCAAGATTTAGTTCGTGGCCTCCTCTTTCACTGCACTTGCAGCTAAGGTTGACGCCTTCATTAAAGTTTGAGGCAGACCCTTCAGCACTTGCTAAAACGCTGAACAAAACGCGAGTTCAAATTCAGGTCCAGAAGCTGCGTTTTTAAGCGATCAATGCCTCCAGGTGGCAGGTGATGACGGAAAACTAGCATTTTTCAAGTACACTGTAACGACCTTTCAGCGTTATAGGGTAAGCAGTTCCGCACCTTCTTTCCTTGGCTAGCGCTACGCTGATTGGTTAGTGTTTTCAGACCTGCTACCTTCTTAGCTACATGCACCACACGCAGCGCATTTTAGGAATTTGACAACACTTTGTTCTTGGCATTGTCAACTTCAGCATTTCGAATTCAGGAGACATACCAGGATTCTTATACCCGAGCTTGCAGTCTTGATAAATGCCTACGGGAACGATGTGGCAGGGTCGTTGTGGGGGGGGGGGGGGGGGGGAGGGGGGGGGGGAGGGGGGGGGGAGGGGTTTCTATCTTCGGCCAACAGGGTACGTTTTAGAGCTCTACAGGTGCTCTGGGCAGACCATCCGGGACGAAAAATGGTACGACCAAGGTCACCCTAGTCATACGGTGTGTATCGCCTCTGTCGTGAATGTGAGCTTCACTGTAAATCATTATAGCAAGCCAGTCTGGCTAACATGTACTATGGTGTGCAATAGAACAGAGGTTTTCATATCCAGGGCAATGGTAGAGGGTGTGTTGTAGGATGTCAGGATGTCACACAAGATCATATCACTTACAGCTGTGTGCGGATGTACGGATATAACCGGGTCTGCACTGACACCGGTCTTCATTTCGTACCGCCACCAAGTTGTCGCTGCCATTGCAGTACCCTGTAGCATTAACCACAGAAACACATTACACTGTAACACTGAACACAGAAACACATTACACTGTAAAATTGAACACAGAAACACATTACACTCAATAGCAATAAACACGCTACACAGCAGGAAAAATGCAATTCTTAGTAATCCAGCGGCTATGAATAAGAGTGAGAAGACTAAGACATGGCAAATCAAGGCAAACATAGAGCATAGCTTTGGGGTAGAACAGTGTTCCGGCATAATTCAGGCAATAGCGCTGCTTATCATATGGGCTACGTCGTGCCAAGTAGACCTTGCAGTCCGTTCGAACAAGTACTTTGCTGGACTCAATAAGACGTTCTTCGTTCGTTAACCGTGACACAACAACTTGCGGGTTTGCTCAGTTTTTTTCATTGCTAAACCCTGAGCAAAAATTGGTCCCACACATACATAGAGTATCACTTGAGAGTAACTCCGCAGGAAACTTACGAGACACGCAGACGGTCGGCCTGGCTGCGGTGAATGAGTCTGGAAGTACTGCCGACCTTGATGGCAAATACACCTCACAATCAGCTGACCCGTTCGTGCCGCTGGTGCAGAGAAGTATGATGGTGACGTTGCTGTCTCTCAGCACCTGAGACGAATTCAGGAGCTCAGAGACGCAGCTGAGCCGCTGCATGTTTGTTGACAACAGCCAACCACCATACTGTTGGCGACACGTCCGGTTTGCGTCGTCAGCTGAAAACGAGATGCTGATATATGAAAATGTGTGCGATCCGCACACAATGGATGGTTCCCTAATAGATACATGACAGGAGAAAAAAATACGATGATGTCATCTTTCTGCACTTCACCTCAACCCTTTGAAAGCCGCTCACACTTGAATGTGCTAAAAGAATGATTTCTGATGAGTATATCATCATACCAGTGTCTGCTCCAGAGCCGCGCGAGCCGGGTAATCGACCCGGTTGGGCGGCGCTTGGACCCGGTTGAAAATATAGTACCGGGTCACCTGTGACCCGGTTGGTACTTTTGTCTTTACACGTTCGAACTTTGAAAGGACTGACTACATGGCTTGTATGTGTGACAGATCATGCAGAGGCGTGCTTCGAAGTGGAAGTAGTCAGTATCCGGTGTGTGCACGTGCTCAGTTTGAGCTTGATCGTTGGGGTGTTGTTTTTGGAAATGGAGCCTCCAGCGAAGAGGCGAATCCACAGGCGCTGCTTCCAGGACTCTTGGAAAACAGGTCGTCCTATAGTTAGTTAAAGCATGTGACTGGGCTGGTGAGACAGCGCCAGGTATATGTGTACCCGGCTCCGACCCGGTTGAAATGGTTGCGCCAGGTACACGTGTACCCGGCTGTCCTACAATCCTAGAGCAGACACTGCATACATGTTGCGCTCGGTACACTTCATCACAGGCATGACTCACTCTTCCCCGTTCCCTGGAGATAGAAGTGAATTCCAGTGGCTTAAACTTTAAAAAAGTATGTAAAAGCAGCTACCTAAAGCAAAACACCATTTTGACCCGGCGAGAATGAAGAATGAATGTAATGAAATTGATGTTTGGCCAATTTTAAAATTACAACGTGCAATGATATTTCACACGAAGTGTCAGCACCGACAAATTGTAGAATATCGCATCGAGTGTATTGCTTTATCTGAGAGAGATGTTCGTGCACTTGTGACCCGAAGTCCCGTATACATATGACAAAATTTAGGAGCTCTGTACTTAGCGCTTTTTCAGGGTATCCATTTCAGGTTATTCTGGTCGGGCCACAGCGTTACGGACTATTCCATCGTCTTCAGCATCGATAAACAACTGGCCATGTGAAAATACCAGGCGGTGGGACTCTTTCCTCTTCCTCTACGAGCGAATTTGTTCTGCACCAGCATACCAAAATATGCAAAATCGTACGCGCATTTCGAATGACGAGGCATGTGCACTGTACACTGCACTGCATGCATTGATTTTGAAGTCGTCTTAAATTGTTCTTGATTCTCCCACCGCTCCCATTCATTTCTGTTGCCAGCGAAAGTACAACTTGGCGCACTTCAAATCACTATAACTCAAGAATGGCTGGGCCAATTTGAATAATATTTGCAGATTGCCTATGTACTACGCCTGGGAGAGTCGAATGAGACCAAAGTGGAAGCGATCGGAGTAAGTTTGAAAATTGGGTGTACCGTAATTCCGCACATATAAGCCCATGGGCCTATATCCGGATATAAGCCCACCTCCGTTTATAGGCCCATGGGCTAATAAACAGACCCAAACACCGTAGTACAGCATGTCAGTGCAGACTACATTACCAGTACCGGTACCTATGGTAGGAGGACAACCGCGTACGGACTTGTACTTTTTCACGTGCCAGCTGCCTTCAAAATTCGAATATAGGCCCAGGGCTAAAAAACGGTAGTCACCACCTCAAGGAAAGAATACATCCTCTGTAATCTTCTCTAATGGTACAAATCATAAAAATTAACTTACCAGGATTACGTCTACACAAAGGTGTATGTACACACTGTGTACACTGTCCTTGCTCCGGCCGTGATTGACGTCCATTGCTCCGGCCGTGATTGACGTCCATTGCTCCGGCCGTGATTGACGTCCATTGCTCCGGCGGTGATTGACGTCCATTGCTCCGGCGGTGATTGACGTCCATTGCTCCGGCCGTGATTGACGTCCATTGCTCCGGCCGTGATTGACGTCCATTGCTCCGGCGGTGATTGACGTCCATTGCTCCGGCCGTGATTGACGTCCATTGCTCCGGCGGTGATTGACGTCCATTGCTCCGGCCGTGATTGACGTCCATTGTTCCGGCGGTGATTGACGTCCATTGCTCCGGCCGTGATTGACGTCCATTGCTCCTGCGGTGATTGACGTCCATTGCTCAGGCCGTGATCGACGTCCATTGCTCCGGCCGTGATTGACGTCCATTGCTCCGGCCGTGATTGACGTCCATTGCTCCGGCCGTGATTGACGTCCATTGCTCCGGCGGTGATTGACGTCCATTGCTCCGGCCGTGATTGACGTCCATTGCTCCGGCGGTGATTGACGTCCATTGCTCCGGCCGTGATTGACGTCCATTGTTCCGGCGGTGATTGACGTCCATTGCTCCGGCCGTGATTGACGTCCATTGCTCCTGCGGTGATTGACGTCCATTGCTCAGGCCGTGATTGACGTCCATTGCTCCGGCCGTGATTGACGTCCATTGCTCCGGCCGTGATTGACGTCCATTGCTCCGGCCGTGATTGACGTCCATTGCTCCGGCGGTGATTGACGTCCATTGCTCCGGCGGTGATTGACGTCCATTGCTCCGGCGGTGATTGACGTCCATTGCTCCGGCCGTGATTGACGTCCATTGCTCCGGCCGTGATTGACGTCCATTGCTCCGGCCGTGATTGACGTCCATTGCTCCGGCCGTGATTGACGTCCATTGCTCCGGCCGTGATTGACGTCCATTGCTCCGGCCGTGATTGACGTCCATTGCTCCGGCCGTGATTGACGTCCAAGAAACGCAAACGTGCAATTGCCGGGAAAGCCTGAGATGTCAATGACACTGTCCGACAATTGTAAGTCGTTTCCAACATCACGGTACTGAAGTCCATCCAGCAATTTGCTGTAGCTGGTACGGACTTCTGCAGGACCAAGCAACGACAGTAAACTTGACCTGCATGCCGTGATCTGGGGGAAGCTGACGAGATGGCTGCCTTGACTTTGGCAGAACTGTTCACCAGCAACCCACGTTTCCTGGGTGTCGGTGACGTAAACTTCATCACCGCCGTCTCCACAGCTAAGCCACGTGTTCACTGCAAAAAAAACACAGGGAGAAAAATGAATTCTTGATATAAGTGAGTACTGCTTGTCCATATTTACAGTATGTACGTTAACTACAGTGGGTCACGGAGCCTAATAGGCGATTCAGACGATGGCCAAAATCACGTCTGAACTTGAGTTTCCATGGTGATGCAGTCGTGCTTCAAATAATTATGCACAATCGCTGATCAAACACGGCTGAGTGGTAGAAATGTGGTCACAGTTGGCCAGAGTCTGAATAGCCTATTACAATGCATGTACAGTAGAGGCGCGGTCACACCAAAACTGGCTGAAACGCTGACTGGAGGAGTGGCGGTCTGCATGCTCACTGCATGGTCACACCGGCATGCTCTGACGGGTGGAATGGTTTTGCGCAGGTAAGATAAACTAGTTACTAGTGATTTCCTTCCTTGGCCATGCACAGCCTCTTGTCTGTTGCAAGTTTGGACAACTCCAGGTCGGGTTTTTTCGGTGTGTTTGACTTATTTGCTGCAATAAATTTAATACGCAATTAACGCGTGGCAATTGCCTTTGCTTTGGTCTCTGAGTCCATGCTCAAGATTGAATGACAGGATGAAGAAATAATCAAGCAAACAAAATTTAATAGTCTATCCTGCTCTCCTCGCCTGCTTTCCTTGGTCGAAACCAAAAATCAGTAGACGGCGATGAAATTCCTACTGATATTCCCACCCTCAAACAATGCAAAAACTCAAGAAAAAATCTGCGTCCTGGCATCCTGGCGGAATTCAGCCGGACAATGCCGTTCCGCGATTTCCATGGAAACCGCCGACAAATTCCGCGCGGAATGCGCGGAATGGCGGAATTTTGCTCCGTGTGACCTCGGCCTAAGTGCGCCCCCCCCCCCCCCCCCGGACAACCCTTTTGATGTCGATATCCACGCCTGTATAACGGTCTGTAGAGTAAGACTTTTTCCGTTAGGGGCACAAGGCTGACGGACATTTTGAAGATTCTCCTACTTTCCGTGAGGGTATACATGTACGTACGCACGCTAGAAACGGACGTTTGAATGAACTAGTTACGATGTGAAGCCATCTTACCGAGTATTATTTGTACCATTGATGGCCTAGCGCAACTGTGCCAGCATTTAACATGACCAGGCCCCGGCCAGCAACAGCTACTTTTGTAAGTGGTCAGAAAAAGTAATCATCCACTTGACGAAGCGGCATCGACTTTGACGACTACATGTTGCACTAATCAAGCACAGAATTCTGACTACCGGTAGTGCTACTTGACGTATATTTGACACATGTACACCGGGTCCTTCCACTTCACCAGCGACCATAGACTACTACTTAGCCCCCAGAAGTGGCTCGGTAACGGTGGCTGGTTAGGCTGGGACTAAAACAAGCTTGATTTGGGGACCTGATACAAAGACTAGAAAGTAGAAGCTGACACAGGACAGACTCAGTGGCCCCGCTGGGTTTCTTTGCCGACTCAAAAATTTAATCAAAGCCCAAACTAAAATCAAAGAAAGCCAGAGCGAAGCCAGCGCTACATTGTTCCCATGACAATAAAATGGCAACTAGTGAATCGTTTCCATGCCACTAACAAAATGACAACCACTCGCCACGCAGCGGTCATATCATCTCAACTAGCTCCAGACTGAAAAGAGAGGGAGCAAGATGAGAATGCGGACTGAAGTAAATTATTGTACATTGACATTGTACACTAAACTCTGTTGTACTGAGCGCGTGAGTCATTTTCTGTGGAGGTCTTGTTGTCCGCTATCGCCGAGCCTAATATTAGGCTTGCATGAAGAATGACCACGGCGGGGCTCGACTACTTCAGTACTTGTGCAGTCTGAAATGGCGACCATAGTCATGGCACGCACCACGGGGATGATACAAAGGTTTTGAAAGCATTTCGTTTTCCCATTCAGTCTTGGGTTTGGCTTATTCTCACACAATAAAAGGGAGTGCGACCACTGAGAATATTGACGGACCAAACAATCCACCTCTCGCCCTAGTCTCTGCCGGTGTCCACGATCACCTCCGTGGTTTTCCAAAGAATGATATTTTCCAAATCTCAGCTGGAATGGTCAATACAAGTACATGTACATGTACCGTACATGACAGACTGTCAGACTATTTATTTACAGCCAGTGTCTGATCCCAAACTGGGTCAGCCGTGTCAGCGACCCGAAGAAGAGCACCCGGGTTAGTCAATCAGGGAGACCTAAGCCAAGGCTAAGATTCGCTGATGTACAGTAGCCGCACTTGAACGTGCAAGAAGCCGGGACTGACCGGGTTGCAAGAATAGACCCTTTGCACAATAACGGTCACGTGATCCGAGACGGGGCATCCTCTTCGATTTTTGTGCAGAGTATCAGTTGTTGAGCATGGTGAAACACTGTATTTTTCCATTTTGGAGATGGAGGAGAGAGTGTCGAGTGGTTTGCCATCGATGGCTGTGGCACCCGTGGACGAACTGTCAAATGAAGAATGGCCTGTGAAGGAACTGAACAGTTTTCTGCTGAATGAGAGTGCGTATCTGTCTGGAAAAAGAAGGAGTTGTTGGAGCGGTAAGTTTTCCGCATTCAGTGGATATTTCGGATTACTGTAGATTGAAATTTATTTTTATTTTCTCTACCTTCTCTCCTCTGTCGATGTAGAGAACACTTCCCTTTGCAGAACCCTGATGCTTCTAGAACTAAGAAGGGCACCACTTCCTCGAGTGTACAGTCATCGTGCCCAACATTTCATGCGTCCTAGTGGATGAGTGATGAACCTCTGTTTCCCAGAGTGAGTGCCACACCAGGCTTGCTCATCTACAACGCAGGGGCAAGTCGCCGACGACAGTGAAGAGGGAGCTGATGGAGTAGTACTAGTGAAGAAGCCCGTGGATAGTGTCCATGAGTTTTACTTTGGTGGCTATGTGCATAATGTGAAAGTCTGTCATATCGTGCACACAGCCACAGCTCGAACTCAGATAGCTTTCTCCGCACGCCTGAGCAATGAGGCCGCGTCTCTCTGCACTTCAACACCAGCAGCTCGAGCAGCGCCAGCAACCAGTCGATCTTCCTTGAAAAGCGAAGACAGGGATGGGCCATGCCTTTCTCTCAAGCTCCAGAGTCTCTTGGCAGGGCGTTCCGCGTCTTCGCGAAAGCAAGGATGAAAGTCGTCATCGACAAAGTGTTCCGAGCAAAACACTGTGAACGATGTCGCAGCAAACTGCTGCCCTCTTCTCGCCAGATAGCCAGGATTCAAGAGAGTGGAATGCCAGCATCACCAGGGAACGCATGAAAAAACAAGTGGGTTTCTTGGGTTAGACTAGGGATGACGGTTGCTGCAAACAAGAACCCAACAGAGTCAGTGGTCCTTGGAAAGCATTTCGGAACTTCTTCCTTCAGAACTAAAAAAAATCCAAATGAAAAAAGGCTGGGGAGTACATACATGAACATCGCGTTGGGACCGTGAAAACACATCCTGTCACAGGAAACTTGATCACGTCCTGCAGCAAACCATGCATGCTGGTTGTATGCCAAGTGTGCAGCGCGCGCACAGCATGCCCCGTCTCGACCCCTCTCGCTTATTGTGCAAAGGGTCTATTGTGCCAAGTACAAGTGTACAAGTGTACATGCACAAGTGTACCTGGTGGTTGGTTTGAAATCCTAGAGGAGGCACAAAATAGCTGGCTGACTGGCTGGTTGTCTTGCCTCTGTTACGTTACGCTCTTCTCTACACCATCCTACGATACACTATACTACGTCTGTGACCTAGTCATTACTGGACGAGAACATGCTCACTCGTCTACCGAAGCAATCAATCCCAAGTCCACTCACGCTTGTTGTTTTACAACATGTGTATTACGCTCTAGAGCTACCGGAGACCACGGAGTCGACTAGTCTGAGCATTACGTACCGGCTAATGTCGTTATCGCACTATGCAGAATATACATGTATGCCTGTGCCCTGTAGACCTATCATGGAGTCCCGCAGCATTCGACTGGGACTCTGTACACTGACTGACTGTCTGCACTGACTTACTGCAGTGTAAAATGTGTCACTATACATGTACTACTACTAGTCTACAGACAGTCCAGAGACAGAGGCACGGAGAGACACTTGTCAGCGACACGCTATCGTGTGTCACCATGGTCACGTCTGGAGCAAAATAATTATTATGATAGACCTACACGGCTACAGTGTATCTGTGATAGGCACTGGCGGATTCTGCTCGAAAAGGTGGCAGATTCTGCTCGAAAAGCAGTGAAATTGGCAGAACCAACTCACCAGAAAAAGTACCGAACTCTGCCAATTTTTCTGCCGGCATAATCCGCCGGTGCGTAATCTGTGATGCACTTTACGTCATGACTGTACAATAATGTACACTCATATCAGACAGTCTCTCTCTCTCTCTCTCTCTCTCTCTCTCTTCCTGGCGTCGAGGCAATTCTTATTAACAGAGCGAACACGAGTGATTGCTTGGACGCTACGACTGTGTGCATGCATGTACATGTGTGCATATAGTATCCCTGTGCGATCGCGACATGAAGCCTGAGTGGAGCTAGATGAAGTGTCGAGTCACAGACAATGCCAGTGCCAGTGCATGTTCTACCTCTACGTGTAGACATGCCCGCGCGTGTCGAGACGTATTCCCTTTGACAGATGCCAGAAGATAGACTACACAACCTGACACAACATGACAGGCTCAGGAGGGTGCTTGACAACTCAAGGTCAGAGGATACGCGCCATGACAGGGCAACGCGTGTCCTGCTAAATCGGACACAGGGGACTATGGTAAAGTAGCAGTGAACTGTTAGAGAACTGCAGAAGCGTGCACGTTCCGTTCCTTAGTGTCACACTCTAGACAATACAGTACAACACCAACACAACACCACCAATACAACCGTAACAACACCAACACAACAACAACAACAATACAAGCACGAGAGCCAGAGTATCAGCATCTGCGTAGAGTACTGTCCTGGACATGGAAGTACAGTCAAAGGGCCGGGTCCCGCGCCCTCAGTGTGTACAGAACGACTTTACGTAGCATGAAGTGCACACGGCGATCGTGGTGCACAATTGTACTAACGCCAAGTTATTATTATTAGGGCTGCACAGCCAGCGCCCTCGCCCATGGCCTGGGACCGCTTGACCTCCGACAGGGTTTGCATGTCCACGATAGTCAGTAGTTCCTGTGGTGACTGCAGTTCTCAACTACTACAATGCAGGCAACTGAAATCCGACACTCTTAGCCTTAGGTGTGCGCTCACAGCGCAAAGACCCAACACGGGGATGGTAAAACTACGAAACAGAGACTGCTAGAATGGGAACCCGCCGCTCAGGGGGTCGGATTTCAGTTGCCAGCAGTGTAGTACTGTAGTATCCCCGCATGCAGTAGCTGAGTAGGCCTACACACACAGTCACAGTGTCCAACGTCTGTAGACCATGCTACTACGTACAGCACAGTCCTGTGAAGCCCTGAAATCAACAGCAAACACAATTTACCTTCACGTGCGGGTGTTCGCAGTAGGGGTTCTGCTCAAGCTTTAAAGTTTTAAGAACCGTGCCAAGCTTTCGGCGAAAAAATTCAGGTTTCGTGTTAAACTGCAGGAGGGCGAGTTTTCCGTATCCATAGGGACGCCACCGCCGTAGTTTGCGTATCAAAACTTGTAGGGAATTCTGCGTCTTTATCCATACAATTATACTGCACGTGTAGCGGACATACAGGAGACACACACAGGTCACAGCACTAAATAATTTGTCCGCTTGTCTGCCGGTATTCCCTGTTGTCCACCAAGCAAGGCCTAGTTCGCTGTGGCTGAGTGTTATGGATGGTGGTATTTTTAGTCGTGACGCCAAATCTAAGGAGCTTCTAGTTTTGTACGTCCACCAAACAGCTGCTCGCACAGCTCACACAATACAGTACAGTACAATACAATACAGTACAATACAGTACAGTACAGTACAGTACAATACAGTACAGCACGTGACTTTACAATCTAATGTGGTGCATAAATCTTGATGATGCCATCAGCTATGGAAGGACAAGTAAAGTAAAAAAAAGAGAGTAAATTATCGTGTCCTTTCCCGAAGGGAACTCACGACGGCCGCTAGCACCCGATAAAGCCTAAAAGGAAGGACAAGTAGCTTGCTGTAACTCTGACCTTGTACTGCTTTAAGACACTGTTCCTATGATACCTGCTGCTGTAACACACATCAGACTTATTTTTCATTACGTACCATCGCATCTCCGGAAGTCGTCCAATTATCATCACTCCCCCCCCCCCTTCATACATGTAATAGTTATCTAGGTGGTATATCTGGTACACCAAAGACGAGCTCCTTGAAACAGGAGGTCTCTAACATACATGTCTCTCACCTCTATCCGCAGAATCCACTATGGGCTGGTTATCTCTACCGTTACCGCATACCCCAAATATCCCACCTCTTATTCGCACAGGTTTTGTCCTAAGAATACCATGAATGTTATCGTTCGATTCCGCGACACCTTACCTACACGGAGGGATACTGCTCGCTCGCATGGGTGCCATTCCTCTTCGACATGGATGAACTCTGCTCTGTGTGGATGCGGCTCGCTGATCTGCTTCATTTTCGAAGCCTAGCTCGATTCCGCCGCGTTCAAAGTATTAACATAATACCAGTAATGCACACCGTCATCTACGCAAACATTCTCTCTTGTCAGAACTGTACTTCTGGTGTAGTACGTTAAGTGGATACCAGCACACTGCCTGAGAAGACTACTGGCAAACAAGTGGTCAAGATCGTGCTAGCTAGTTGCTTTTTACTTGCAGAAACAAAGTTACGGACCAAAGCGGACACGCACGCTATGCACAATGCCTATAACAATTACCTCGACAAATAATTCTACCGATTCTACCCGACTGACCAGGCTCCATAAGTATTTAATGCTGCATCGCCTACGCCGACGTCAAGGGCAAGGAATATTCTGTCACGCTCACGGCTTGTGATGCAGGCAGTCAACGCGCAATCAAACCAACGGACAATTTGTCACGCTTAGCATTAATTAAACTTTGTCGCTGGTCTGTGATGGGGCCAGTTTCAAATCTGGCAGAAAAGGCGACTAGCTGCCCAGCCCAGTGCTGTCTGGAATCACGTTGTCCATCATGAAGTTGTCTCGCATGTCTGACGCCAAGCAGAGGTGTCTAGAGGATCGCGATCACAGAGATCACAGAGTCACTACCCTGGACTAGTCATCATCAGCTGTACCAATCGATGCCAGTGCACTAGAGTACAGAAACACGTCAACGTCTCATGGTTTGTGCGAGAATGCTGTGCTATCCTGAACTCACTGGCAGGACAACGATGCCTATCTGGCTGTGGTACGGTTTCTCCCAGCCCGCTGTGGTCTAACCATATCCAGTTTACGATAGTACTAATGGCAGCAGTTACGACGAGGAACTTACAGGAACTTACAGTCTCTTTCCCTCAAACTAGTGAAAACTTACAGTTCACTTGTAGTTACGATGACTAACCTACAGTTCACGGCCGTCGTATTGCATTTTCATCACTTGTGTTTCTTTCGCCCAGAAAAGAGGCTTCGGAACAGTTCACGGTCTTAACGATAACCATGACTTTGGATTATTGACGATAGATTACGTCCGTTTGAATGAGCATCCAGATACAGTAAATTTGTTCTTCAGATTGTACTCGGCCTCATCTTTCCCCTCAAAGCAATGAATGCAAAGAATCCGTTCATGATTTCTGCATGAGACGGCAGGATGGAAAGCACCAAAGAGATCATAGTTGTCTTATGCAGTAATGATGGAAGGGGAACAGGAGTGGGTGACGTCCGAGGCCTCCATGTATACCTGGCTTTTTCCCGCATGGAGTCATGCTGTTCGGTCCAATATGCGATCCCATTGTGCAAAGTGCTCCGTCGAAGGTCCTGTCCGGAGGTTGAGACACTGGGATCGGCAGTCTAGATCTGAGCAATGCATGGCACTCGTGTTGCAACAAGCCTTGTGTATGTTTTCCTGCCTTCAGTGTACGGTTGTTTGCCTTCATTTCGCGAGGGGAGGGGGGGGGGGGAGGAGGAGATAAACTACATGACTACTGAGTACATGACTACAGAGTACATGACTACTGACTAACTGAGTACATTGTAGTGTCAGCTGTACTACTGAGTAGTGTCAGCGCACTGAGCGCAGTCCTTGCTCGCAGCAGGAGGTACGGATCTTTTACCAGTGACGTTTCCATGTCACGGCGTGTGTACTAGCCTATGCTGCTCCTTGTTTGTTTTCACGTTCACTTTCCCGTACAAGTATTTCTGTTGCCTTTCTCAGGCTTAGTAACTTTCCCAGTGCTGTGCTCTGCAGATCTCTGTGGAAGGTTCTTCAAAACACTCTTAGTTTGAAGTTGATTTGTATAGTGACACTCGCATGTTCCGACAGGCAATCAGCTTGGGCTTATGCCTATCTTTCCCTAGTTGGACCTGCAGGTTATGCTATCTCTCATGATGGTGTTTCTGCCCACTGACTGTGTATATGTGTTATGCATGTAGAGTGTAAACGTTAGTGCCGTGCACTGACAATCATCACTCATGACGTCATGTCACTGTTCTGCCATTCGCTGTCCACCATATGTGCAAGGTCACTTATGAATTCCAGTCAAACCCAAATCATTTGTTTTAGTGGACTAGCTTTGAATGCTGACATAGAAACCATCACAGAGAACATCAATTGCAAACAAAATACATGGCAAGATGAAGGTGCAACGACATGATATTTGCAAGACAAAGAGCAAACTTGATGCTCTGCACTTGATCAGTCCGGGACATTGATTGCATTCAGCGAAGATCGTCGAGGGAGCCGTACTCCCGATGGTGAGAAACGAGCTTACACCCCAGTATTGCACCTTCCCCATGTGTATCTCTTACCGAGACTCCCTCGATTTACACTATGGCTTGTGAAGAATCCATGAATACAAAAAAGCAAGACAAAGTAGATGTTGTAGTAGTCATACTGGCTGAAGTTAAATTAAAAAATCGCGAAAGATAGCATGTCCTCTGTTGCTTGAATCAGCAGGGGAGATCGTCGATTGTTTAACACAAGCAGCGAAGATTTTGTGGTACAGAACAATAGTTTTTTCAAAGAGGATTTCGTTTTTAGGTTTTCCAGTGTTCCTTGTAGGCCAATTGAGAAGTGTCGAGTCACGTTTGGTGTTGATGCCCTTGACTGTAGGATTAAATTCATCCAGCCAAACTCAATGTGTGGTGGTCTGCATGGCTGGGTGTGCTTGTGTCTGTGTGTGTGCGTGCGTGCGTGCGTTCGTGCGTACGTGCGTGTGTGTATTTGCACGTCTGAAAGGAATTACTTGATCGTGCAGTAGTAACAGTACTCAGTAGCATATGCTGGCTCACACAACTGACGTGAATACGCAGGTAACACAACTAACAGGAACACACGCAACTCACATGAATACTAAAATATTCTATTATTTTATTTCTTTTACTAGTACTCGTCGTACACTGGTACCAGCTGTGCCATAGCTATGCCACGAACTGTCCATATGGTCTACAGTCACACGGAAGTAAGAGCAACCAATCTAATCCTAGACCATACAATCTCCTCTCACAGTGGTTGTACTGTCAGTGGTGCTGTGCTCTGCTGGTATCGTCGCATACGTTGACGGGTTGAAAACCGCTCCGCAGCCCCTTTCCATTACTCATGTGTGCCTAATGTCACACTATTCGTATCTCAGATACACCATGCTGTCAAGTTGTCATTCTTGGGCTGGCAGTGCGTGAACACACTAGTATCCGCACGGTCATTACTAAGTGGCCAGGTCATATGTTTGCAATGGTGACTCGACGCTCACAAATCACCTGTACGGTCTTCAGTAAAATCACACACGTCGTCTGCAGCAGAAATTGCCGCGGAATCATCCACAGAGCAGGTGGCAGATTCTGCTCGAAAAGCAGTGAAATTGGCAGAACCATACAAACCTTATGGCGGGCAATTCCTCAAATTTTGCTCCATTTCTTTATCCATATACCAAACATGCATGAAATTACCAGAAAAGTACCGGATTCTGCTAAATTTTCTGCCGGCATTATCTGCATATGCCTATCCACTGTGCATATGTTTGACTACATAACGTACTGATAATGTACTAGTTAGTTCATATTGATCACTCACAGTAGATATACTGGTACTAGAAAGTCAACTTTTCACTCCTTTCCAAAATTCACCGTTCACTAGTAGAGACTCAGTTCGACTGAGCACTCAACATTCGTATAGGAACACAGCCACCCTGCAATGATCCACGGCTTGGAAATTGAAAAATAATATTTTTTCCAGCCGTGCTGCAACCAACAGTTTGCTGGTGGGCTGACCTACTTACCTCCCGCCGCTTTAGGAGCTATATCTGCGACATTTTATCTTAAAAATCATTCTTTCTGCAATGTTTTCCTTTTCCCTTTTACCGTATTATCTCTAATATAAGCACGGTCCTTTATTTTTTCATGTACCTCCGTCCCGTGCTATTAATGGAGAAGTTCCTTTATTGGAGACTGTTCCATTATTATTTCAACCTTATTTCAGAGGCATGTTGCCATGCCAAATTCATGTCATACACACACATCTCAGGGTTTTTTCGCCGGTACAGATAATGAATTTACACAGTGTGCTTATAATGGAGACTGAGCACTTTATTTTTTGAATGCCGCCCCAAGGTGTTCTATTATTGGAGACTGTGCTTGTATTAGAGATAATACGGTATTCGTCTGCCTTGATGAGGAATCCGCCGATTAAAACGTCCCTCCTCCTGTTTTGCTGATCTGTGATCAGATCATGACGGTGGAATCACCAATACAGTCTATTGCTGACTTTAGTGTCTTCAATTTTGCTGAGCCGGTAGATTGAAAAACACACAAAAAGTAAAACTAAAACAGCATTACAGGCATAACAGGCATCACAACTAAAACAGCATTACAGCCAATACAGCCAATACAGCCAATACAGGTATCACAACTGTTGCCTGATGATAGCGAGATCGCATGAAACTAATACTTGAAGTAGCAGCAAACAAGCCTGGATTGTCCTTGTTGTTCTGTTCTGTTTAGCATCACAAATACAATGAATGCAATACACACAAAGCAGTTGGTACACTGCAGCTACATCCAACCTGTAGCCTGTAAGCTGAGACTGTAGATTTAAATGCTGCACGTGGTCTGTGCAGCACGGTGGTAGCGACCTCGGGGAGACTTCAGTAAACGTACGCTGGTTTTGCTAGAGTTGTTGGAGCCTGTGCATGTGCTGGATTGTTGCTAATTTGACCGTACAGCAACACGCACAACACGAATCGTTTTTATCAAAATCTAAATATTTGCTGGGTTGGAAGGTGGGGGAAACATGCACAACAATGCCTGTCACATGCCATGCGTACACGTGTCAAACGGAGAGTCGACTCAACACTATTGACAATCTGCAGTGCTGTATCAGTAGCTGATAGAAAGACCCATAATGTGCACACACAAGTAACCAGGGAGTAGTAAATTACCGGTATTATACTACTCCCTGCTAGTACCACGCGTGATCTTCGTGGTGCACATGTAGAGCAGATCTTCACTTTCTCGGTTCATGCGAGTTTTGTACGTGGATAAAGAAATCAAGCAGATTTCGAGAAAGTGCACTTTGACGAAAAATGTGCGGAACGTTCATGGTACAACTTTGAACACAGAATTCAATATGAACCGTATGACATAAAAGTTAGAATGATCGGTTACACGTCTGTTGGTCAGGCGATGTGATCATCAGATTGCCAGCAGCCTGCAGGATGACTACTCTGTGTATCACTCTCACTTGCAACTGACCTTTCTAACCTTCACGTGAGAGAGCTCTACCCCTACGTACTGAGATCCTTGTGGTTACATTCTTTTGTGAATTTTTACCTCCCAAAAATGTACAGCCAGTCTAGATACTAAAGGACAACAATGAGAAAAGCACGCGCACAGACAACTGCAGTGCAGTGGAAATCCGGGTGTTGATGTACGCCCTGTCCAATAGAGGCTATCATTAATGGAGCTGTCATGTCATGGTGTGCGGATTGTCAAGTAATTGTTTCATGTTCCTCTTCTTTGAAAAAACTTGCAAGTAATAATTTTATTTTCCTTGTTCTGTAGTTGCTGTGTCGGGGGAGTGGTATAATGTTCTGTAATTGCCCGCGTAAGAAGAATTTTCCCCATTCAGAAGTCTGTGTGAGAAAGTCAGGCTAGTGAGCACAGCTGATCATCCTCATCGCTCATGGATAGTGATCAAGAAACTGGTTTCACACACCTCGGAGACGTGACATACATGAAGTTAGTTACCCCAGTTCATAGATACTGACTCATGAGAAATACGCACATGTACTAGTGTGCGCTGTACATTATACGGGAAAGAAAAGTTATGAAAGGAAAAGGAGTAGGCACCAAAGAGTTTCAGTAGAATCCAGATCGTGCTCTGTATGACCTCCCCTTGGAAATGGTTAGCCGGCAAGCTGTCCGGCGGGGGCAGCATAGCAGATATTACACTGCCACAACCCCCAACAGGTTATAATAAAGATGATTTCGACATGCTTGGTCGGAGGAGTTACATTGTAATTCTGCCTTGCCCCGTCTTCCATCCAATATGCCACCGACCATGCTGTACAGCATCACATTATAATGGTTGTGTGGGTGGTATTTTAAAAGTAGCATTCATGTACATTTACATTTACATTTACATTTACATTTACATTTACATGCTATAGTTTGTATACTTTCTTCTTCATCATGGATTCTCAATCCACCATGGATTCTCAATCCACCATGGATTCTCAATCCATCATGGATTCTCAATCCACCATGGATTCTCAATCCACCATGGATTCTCAATCCACCATGGATTCTCAATCCACCATGGATTCTCAATCCACCATGGATTCTCAATCCACCATGGATTCTCAATCCACCATGGATTCTCAATCCATCATGGATTCTCAATCCACCATGGATTCTCAATCCACCATGGATTCTCAATCCACCATGGATTCTCAATCCACCATGGATTCTCAATCCACCATGGATTCTCAAACCACCATGGATTCTCAATCCACCATGGATTCTCAATCCACCATGGATTCTCAATCCACCATGGATTCTCAATCCACCATGGATTCTCAATCCACCATGGATTCTCAATCCACCATGGATTCTCAATCCACCATGGATTCTCAATCCACCATGGATTCTCAATCCACCATGGATTCTCAATCCACCATGGATTCTCAATCCACCATGGATTCTCAATCCACCATGGATTCTCAATCCACCATGGATTCTCAATCCACCATGGATTGTCAATCCACCATGGATTCTCAATCCACCATGGATTCTCAATCCATCATGGATTCTCAATCCACCATGGATTCTCAATCCACCCCATAGCAGCTGCCGTTCGCCCTACCTAATTTCCCGGTTGATTAATATTTTAATATTCTCGAATCACGGAGCTCGAAATGTTTCCGAAGCACGCTATCTTTATGGTAGCAGTGCGACGCTACAGTTGCTATGCAATATATGTATAGGCATGCTTTCCCACGCATTGAACCTCTTCAAAATGGATTGAACGCACTTATGCGTGAGGCGTGTATCACACTTCTCAAGCCAGAAAGGCATTCCATCTGTTCTGACCAAACATTCTCTGTGCCTTCACAGGTTTTCCATTTTCTTCGGAAAGGAATGAGTTACTTGCTTGACGAGAGTGCTCATATACACAGCCGTGCATTGCCTGCTGCTGGTGTGTGTGCGCTTCCAATCAGCGTTGCAAGTCAACTTCCAAGATGGTAAGACAAACTCTGTGCGCTGCCTGTCATATTTATTTCTGTCGTAGAGGGTATTCTGTTTGGCACTTTGCCTACATAAACGCACACACCTGCATGAGGCCAATTGCCCTGTGGTGCCTATGAACCACGTAGCGCTCTAATACTTTATTCTTTGGTCAAATCTGTTCATGCTGAACTAGCAAAATGTGGGTAGGTGGTTGGTAACAGTTGTAGATGCGTGACTCGATCATAGCGTGCTGTGCAACTCTGCACCATACGGTACGAATACAGTCTATACGTGGCGAGCTAGGGATGGTAGTGCCCGTGCCAGTGGTTGGCAAGATGGGATGATCGTTGTTGAACGAAAACTAAAACTACTCTGGAATACACATATGAGCTTTGCAAAAGAAAGTCAAGGTGTCATTGTGAATTGATCCACACAGACACTATGACTGTTTCCCGGTCTCTCTCTCTCTCTCTCTCTCACACACACACACACACACACACACACACACACACACGCGCACACACACACACACACACACACACACACACAGATCGTTTGAAGGTTTGTGTGTGACGGATGCTCGTGAAAGCAAACAACATTGATAGTTTCCTGTGTTTGTTTTGGCACAGGCTAGATTGGTTGTTGTGCCCGTGCTGCTTGCACTGCCGTTCACCTTTCTTCTTCTTTTCGCCGCTGAGAGCCGTGGACAAGGCCGTAAGTCAGGATTGTGCGCATGCCTGCGTGCATAGGGGTGCCCATGCGTGTCTGAAATGCCACTAGGGTCGTGAGCAGTGCACCAGCACAGACAGTGCTCACGAAATATCTACTTCGCAGTTAGTTGCGATTTACTTTTCTTACATGTACTAATTGTAGCTGGAATTTGATTTGTTGAAGTTCTGTTGGGTTCTAGCATCTTGATGTCGTGCCATTATGGACTATAGTGGTTATGCGTTTAATTTGTTTGTGCGTAGACGAGGGGGCGAGGGAGGTAGACATGCGAAGAGGTCACTGGACTCACTTGTCACTAAGTATTGTGTTGTAGGCTACTAGTACTAGTACTAGCTGTGACATACGTACATATAGCTTAGGTTCAATCTATTACAGACCAAGGGGAGGTAGTGCTGCGCGTTTGTCACGTGCACTTGAAGTGTTCTTGCAGTTTTTTTTGTGCGTAGTTGAAAGGATTGTCATTCCTTATCTCAGTAGGAAACCCACTGGCAAGTGAGAGATATATGTACATGTATGATAGAGAGAGAGAGAGAGAGAGAGAGATAGAGATAGAGAGAGAGAGAGCTATTGTTAAAAGGGAAGTACACCCTACAGCGTTGCTGTCACTCGAGTTGAACCTTTCAACCTTCGAGTTGAACCTTGGTGTGAAAGTTGTAGCCTGCAGGGCCAAGCATGGTGACCAAGCAACTGGTGTACACCCAACAAGCACGTGATCGCTTATTCGACAGGGTTCGACTGAGAATAAGGACCGAACGCTGCATCGCAACCTTTTCGGACCAACACCAGGCGACGGAGCGTCCAAAAGACTACCACACATAGCCTAATCGCGATCATGCATGCTTTTATTAGAAGGAAACGGCGATATTAGTGACATTTTGGATACAAATCCCCATCTAGTAGGGCGCAGTCACCCAGTTTCGGTGGAAGTGCACGAGTTCATTTGGGGATAAAGGAGGAAGCGAGCATCTCAGCTTCCTCGGACCAAGACCATTCGACTCAGCCCACCGACGACTACAACTGATGAAAACATTGTTTTAAGGGTAATACAACATTTAAATGTCTTGGTTGGAGGTGCAAGCACAGCCCCCAGGTGTTAAAGGGGAAGTATACCCTAAAATCAAATTTTCACCAGTTGTAGTCTTCTGGGTGCTGAGTCGAATGGTCTTGGTCCGAGGAAGCTGAGACGCTCCTTTCCTACTTGAATCCCAATCGAACTCGCGCACTTCCACCGAAACTGGGTGACTGCGCCCTACTAGATGGGGATTTGTATGCAAAATGTCACTAAAAGCGCCATTTCGTTCTTATAAAAGCACGGATGACCGCCATTGGCCCATATGTTGTAGTCTTTTGGACGCTGAGTCGACTGGTTTTGGTCCGAAAAGGCTGCGATGCAGCGTTCCTCCTTTATTCCCAATCGAACATGGTTGAACAAGCGGTCACGTGCTCCTGGGTGCCCAAATCACCTGGTCACCGCGCCAGCAGGCGACAACTTTCACACCAAGGTTCAACTCGAGTTCAACTCGAGTGACAGGACTGCACCCAAAAAAGGTCAAACAGGCTAGAAAGTTGTACCCTGCAGGCACGGTGACCAGGTGACTGGTGTACGCAGGAGCACGTGACCGCTTGTTCAACCATGTTCGATTGGGAATAAAGGAGGAACGCTGCATCGCAGCCTTTTCGGACCAAAACCAGTCGACTCAGCGTCCAAAAGACTACAACATATGGGCCAATGGCGGTCATCCGTGCTTTTATAAGAACGAAATGGCGCTTTTAGTGACATTTTGCATACAAATCCCCATCTAGTAGGGCGCAGTCACCCAGTTTCGGTGGAAGTGCGCGAGTTCGATTGGGATTCAAGTAGGAAGGGAGCGTCTCAGCTTCCTCGGACCAAGACCATTCGACTCAGCACCCCGAAGACTACAACTGGTGAAATTTTAATTTTAGGGTATACTTCCCCTTTAAGGAACGTGCCTTGAAAGTACAATTTGTACTTCTGAATTACTCATCTCCCTTCGCTTCAGGAGCAAAAATAATTTTTTCCTGAAACTAGTGACGTTCCTGTTGTGCAGGTATGTAAGTTTGACTAACTACTTCAGGTATTTTTGTTTGAAGTTTTATTTTAAATCGCAAACTAAACGGGCATTGATGCGCAGTATTATGATGGCGATAGAATAAAAAGTGTGGCTCGATAAAGCTGTACTTGAGAAAATGAGAAAACAGTCAATAGGAAGTATATGTACCAGCCAGTACACGTCAAGTTCGAACGAATTAACAATCAGAGAGAAAGGTACGACATAAACTCGGCAACAACCAGCTCAGCAGACTGCGGATGCCGATCCCATCGCTCTCGAAAAGACCCCATAAGCCCCGCGAACACCTAATACAATCATCAAGGCAACAGAGCAAATGACAAACTACACGACATCGTATTTATGATTATCATGTGGTACTAGTAGTACTGTTCCATTCTCCTCTCACAAGCTCTCGACAGACGCGATTCAGTGATACAGTGCCGCAGCTGCTCCTCCCATGCCACCGCTCGCCGGCAGCACAGCCTGCACGAACGTCTAATGCTCCACCGTTCTCACTCTCTCTCTCTCTCTCTCCTTAAAGCACCTTCTCCTTTCTATCTTCTGACGCCGTTAGATCGTGGTGCGTGTTGCAGATCGGTTGGAGCGTGCGTGCGTGCGGAAGGATTAAAAACCTTTGTGTAAATCACGGTAAATCACGCTCAAACCTTCTGCCCCACAAACCACTAACCGCTAGGCACCGGCGGATTATGCCGGCATAATTATTGGCATAATTTGGGGGTTGAAAATTTGGAGCATAATGTGGCATCCTTTCGGTGGTAGGAGCATAACTACATGATTGTACCACAATTCTAGTATGTAAGCTACACAATTGTGTACAATGCACCTGATCAGTGCTAGTGGTCTGCATGGCAAAGGGTTTGGAGGTCATGCAGATATTTTTTTCAATGAAAAGCAGGGTAGAAATCACGACAATACATTATTGTATGCTCGAACTCGTCTTCTTCAAAGTTCTTTCTCGCGCTGATTCAGTACATGTAGCAGAAGATGGGAGTGAATCAGCGCTTATTAGGTATCCCGGGGCGAACAAGATAGTGACGGGTAATCCGCAAAACTCCGCGTAGATCTACATGTACATTATGCATGTTACGAAGTCATGACCTCTGAACTTTAGCAGCCATGACTGCGCACTGCAGCCTATGGATACATGCACCTATGTACATGTATTGCTCTATTTTAAAAAAGAAAAAGAAGAGGTACATGTATAGTTGATGTTCGGTCATGATGGAAAGAGAGGTGGAGCTACGGGAGGGATGAGCTGATTATTCACAGGGTGAGGGTGACATCCATTGGACGAGAATGACGATTACGAAGACCGTTGAACATGATAATTTTCAAAGGTAACTCAAACTAATTTGACAATGTGAAACTCGGGTATTGAGCCAATAATAACAATGAAAAATCTTTTTACGAAAGCAGTCAACGAATGGAGAGAAGAAGTATGTTTTCTTTTTTCCATGTTGATCTCTAGCATGCACGGATACCTTGGTGGGAGGGGTGGGGGTTGGTGGGGGGAACTTTGAGGCTCCATAAGTACAATAAAGCGACTATGTATCCCCGCGTGCCAAAGCATAATAATTATGAGGATTTTGCGAGCATAATTGCCTGTTATGGAACCATATACCTGACACGGTGCGAGCCATGGGCAACATCCCAGCATTCCGCCGAGCTGCCATTCCCTACACGTTGTAGACTGCTACACAGTTGGCCATACCATGGTATTCAGTACCCACGAACTTTGCAAAGCCGATAATATGATAATGTACCGTGGTGCATGCTCCGATGGTACCACCACTT